AGGCAAGACTACAACATCTCTTTCTAGGCGTTTAACGATGCATAAGCAACAGGGCTCCATTAAGGAACATATAATCTCTTCCCACAACCAAACCATCGCCAGAGAAATCCTAGTAAACAACACAGAAATCATCGATAGATACAGCGATAGCAGACGGCTTGACGTTTGCGAGGCACTGCACATTAAGAAGTCAACACCAGCAATCAACAGCCAATTAATGCACAACTATATTTTACCCACCTCAAGACTCCGCTCCAATATAGAAGCATCAAGAAATATGGACCAATAGGCTTTCTACAATCACATCCATTTCAATACCCATTCTTTCGTGTTCTGTCTTGTGTTGATGAAATTAATACCCTATTAAATACCACCTCACCCCATCCACCTCACTCAAATGTAAATATAAACAAATCGGAGGTATGTAAGTTCTATTCAGTTGTGTATGTGTAAAGTCTTTGAAAATGTAATAAATTTTACGAAACGCGCTCAAGTGTCGCGTCAGACTAGAAATAAAAATGAATTTTGGAGAATTGATTTTTGAATTACCTCCAACAGTGAAAAGAAATGTACGAAAGATTGAGAAAATTCGTGTTAGAATTATTAATCTTACTTTTTCGGTCATATTTAATAATATATATATATATATATATATATATATATATATATATATATATATATATATATATATATATATATATATAATATATATATATATAACTGAAAACTCACACCCCAGGAGTGACTCGAACCCATACTCCCACAACTGGTATGTACAGGGACGCCTTAATCCGCTTGACCATCACGACCGGACATAAGGAAGTGATAGCCGAGGCTATTTGAACCACTTCCCCGCCGGCACTCGGATGGTAATCTTGGGCATAGCATTTTATCAAATCACCTCATTCTTTGGGGCACACGTGAGGAACACAAATGCAAACAAGCCTGAATGGTCCCCAGGACTATATACAACTGAAAACTCACACCCCAGAAGTGACTCGAACCCATACTCCCACAACTGGTATGTACAGGGACGCCTTAATCCGCTTGACCATCACGACCGGACATAAGGAAGTGATAGCCGAGGCTATTTGAACCACTTCCCCGCCGGCACTCGGATGGTAATCTTGGGCATAGCATTTTATCAAATCACCTCATTCTTTGGGGCACACGTGAGGAACACAAATGCAAACAAGCCTGAATGGTCCCCAGGACTATATACAACTGAAAACTCACACCCCAGAAGTGACTCGAACCCATACTCCCACAACTGGTATGTACAGGGACGCCTTAATCCGCTTGACCATCACGACCGGACATAAGGAAGTGATAGCCGAGGCTATTTGAACCACTTCCCCGCCGGCACTCGGATGGTAATCTTGGGCATAGCATTTTATCAAATCACCTCATTCTTTGGGGCACACGTGAGGAACACAAATGCAAACAAGCCTGAATGGTCCCCAGGACTATATACAACTGAAAACTCACACCCCAGAAGTGACTCGAACCCATACTCCCACAACTGGTATGTACAGGGACGCCTTAATCCGCTTGACCATCACGACCGGACATAAGGAAGTGATAGCCGAGGCTATTTGAACCACTTCCCCGCCGGCACTCGGATGGTAATCTTGGGCATAGCATTTTATCAAATCACCTCATTCTTTGGGGCACACGTGAGGAACACAAATGCAAACAAGCCTGAATGGTCCCCAGGACTATATACAACTGAAAACTCACACCCCAGAAGTGACTCGAACCCATACTCCCACAACTGGTATGTACAGGGACGCCTTAATCCGCTTGACCATCACGACCGGACATAAGGAAGTGATAGCCGAGGCTATTTGAACCACTTCCCCGCCGGCACTCGGATGGTAATCTTGGGCATAGCATTTTATCAAATCACCTCATTCTTTGGGGCACACGTGAGGAACACAAATGCAAACAAGCCTGAATGGTCCCCAGGACTATATACAACTGAAAACTCACACCCCAGAAGTGACTCGAACCCATACTCCCACAACTGGTATGTACAGGGACGCCTTAATCCGCTTGACCATCACGACCGGACATAAGGAAGTGATAGCCGAGGCTATTTGAACCACTTCCCCGCCGGCACTCGGATGGTAATCTTGGGCATAGCATTTATCAAATCACCTCATTCTTTGGGGCACACGTGAGGAACACAAATGCAAACAAGCCTGAATGGTCTCCAGGACTATATACAACTGAAAACTCACACCCCAGAAGTGACTCGAACCCATACTCCCACAACTGGTATGTACAGGGACGCCTTAATCCGCTTGACCATCACGACCGGACATAAGGAAGTGATAGCCGAGGCTATTTGAACCACTTCCCCGCCGGCACTCGGATGGTAATCTTGGGCATAGCATTTTATCAAATCACCTCATTCTTTGGGGCACACGTGAGGAACACAAATGCAAACAAGCCTGAATGGTCCCCAGGACTATATACAACTGAAAACTCACACCCCAGAAGTGACTCGAACCCATACTCCCACAACTGGTATGTACAGGGACGCCTTAATCCGCTTGACCATCACGACCGGACATAAGGAAGTGATAGCCGAGGCTATTTGAACCACTTCCCCGCCGGCACTCGGATGGTAATCTTGGGCATAGCATTTTATCAAATCACCTCATTCTTTGGGGCACACGTGAGGAACACAAATGCAAACAAGCCTGAATGGTCCCCAGGACTATATACAACTGAAAACTCACACCCCAGAAGTGACTCGAACCCATCACTTCGGGTTCGAGTCACTTCTGGGGTGTGAGTTTTCAGTTGTATATAGTCCTGGGGACCATTCAGGCTTGTTTGCATTTGTGTTCCTCACGTGTGCCCCAAAGAATGAGGTGATTTGATAAAATGCTATGCCCAAGATTACCATCCGAGTGCCGGCGGGGAAGTGGTTCAAATAGCCTCGGCTATCACTTCCTTATGTCCGGTCGTGATGGTCAAGCGGATTAAGGCGTCCCTGTACATACCAGTTGTGGGAGTATGGGTTCGAGTCACTTCTGGGGTGTGAGTTTTCAGTTGTATATAGTCCTGGGGACCATTCAGGCTTGTTTGCATTTGTGTTCCTCACGTGTGCCCCAAAGAATGAGGTGATTTGATAAAATGCTATGCCCAAGATTACCATCCGAGTGCCGGCGGGGAAGTGGTTCAAATAGCCTCGGCTATCACTTCCTTATGTCCGGTCGTGATGGTCAAGCGGATTAAGGCGTCCCTGTACATACCAGTTGTGGGAGTATGGGTTCGAGTCACTTCTGGGGTGTGAGTTTTCAGTTGTATATAGTCCTGGGGACCATTCAGGCTTGTTTGCATTTGTGTTCCTCACGTGTGCCCCAAAGAATGAGGTGATTTGATAAAATGCTATGCCCAAGATTACCATCCGAGTGCCGGCGGGGAAGTGGTTCAAATAGCCTCGGCTATCACTTCCTTATGTCCGGTCGTGATGGTCAAGCGGATTAAGGCGTCCCTGTACATACCAGTTGTGGGAGTATGGGTTCGAGTCACTTCTGGGGTGTGAGTTTTCAGTTGTATATAGTCCTGGGGACCATTCAGGCTTGTTTGCATTTGTGTTCCTCACGTGTGCCCCAAAGAATGAGGTGATTTGATAAAATGCTATGCCCAAGATTACCATCCGAGTGCCGGCGGGGAAGTGGTTCAAATAGCCTCGGCTATCACTTCCTTATGTCCGGTCGTGATGGTCAAGCGGATTAAGGCGTCCCTGTACATACCAGTTGTGGGAGTATGGGTTCGAGTCACTTCTGGGGTGTGAGTTTTCAGTTGTATATAGTCCTGGGGACCATTCAGGCTTGTTTGCATTTGTGTTCCTCACGTGTGCCCCAAAGAATGAGGTGATTTGATAAAATGCTATGCCCAAGATTACCATCCGAGTGCCGGCGGGGAAGTGGTTCAAATAGCCTCGGCTATCACTTCCTTATGTCCGGTCGTGATGGTCAAGCGGATTAAGGCGTCCCTGTACATACCAGTTGTGGGAGTATGGGTTCGAGTCACTTCTGGGGTGTGAGTTTTCAGTTGTATATAGTCCTGGGGACCATTCAGGCTTGTTTGCATTTGTGTTCCTCACGTGTGCCCCAAAGAATGAGGTGATTTGATAAAATGCTATGCCCAAGATTACCATCCGAGTGCCGGCGGGGAAGTGGTTCAAATAGCCTCGGCTATCACTTCCTTATGTCCGGTCGTGATGGTCAAGCGGATTAAGGCGTCCCTGTACATACCAGTTGTGGGAGTATGGGTTCGAGTCACTTCTGGGGTGTGAGTTTTCAGTTGTATATAGTCCTGGGGACCATTCAGGCTTGTTTGCATTTGTGTTCCTCACGTGTGCCCCAAAGAATGAGGTGATTTGATAAAATGCTATGCCCAAGATTACCATCCGAGTGCCGGCGGGGAAGTGGTTCAAATAGCCTCGGCTATCACTTCCTTATGTCCGGTCGTGATGGTCAAGCGGATTAAGGCGTCCCTGTACATACCAGTTGTGGGAGTATGGGTTCGAGTCACTTCTGGGGTGTGAGTTTTCAGTTGTATATAGTCCTGGGGACCATTCAGGCTTGTTTGCATTTGTGTTCCTCACGTGTGCCCCAAAGAATGAGGTGATTTGATAAAATGCTATGCCCAAGATTACCATCCGAGTGCCGGCGGGGAAGTGGTTCAAATAGCCTCGGCTATCACTTCCTTATGTCCGGTCGTGATGGTCAAGCGGATTAAGGCGTCCCTGTACATACCAGTTGTGGGAGTATGGGTTCGAGTCACTTCTGGGGTGTGAGTTTTCAGTTGTATATAGTCCTGGGGACCATTCAGGCTTGTTTGCATATATATATATATATATATATATATATAGTTGCCTGTGTTTTTCATAATAAATTATTAAAACGAATTTGATATTACATTTTGATATTGTACATTAACAGTCTAACATGATCGTTTACTTAAATACTCTATTGCAGAGATGTAATAATAAAGCCCATTAAAGTAGAGGCTGAGGGCTTCCTTAGAGAGAAGACGTGGACCAAATATATTTGTTCACGTGGTAAGTATTTTTGTTAAGTTTTATTTCAAAGTTGATGCATTTTACATTCTTGATATAATGACCAAAATGTTCTTGTGACTTGTTGAGAGACTGCTGAATCATGAGCTCGGAAAACTACCTATTCTTCTACATCAAAATGGACATTAATTTTCCGTGTATACTGCGCTGGTTGATACCTGGTTGATAGGGTTCTGGGAGTTCTTCTACTCCCCAAGCCCGGCCCGAGGCCAGGCTCGACTTGTGAGAGTTTGGTCCACAAGGCTGTTGCTTGGAGCGGCCCGCAGGCCCACATACCCACCACAGCCCGGCTGATCCGGAACGTCTCTTAGAAAACCGTCCAGTTTTCTCTTGAAGATGTCCACGGTTGTTCCGGCAATATTTCTTATAGTCGCTGGGAGAACGTTGAACAACCGCGGACCTATGATGTTTATACAGTGCTCTCTGATTGTGCCTATGGCACCTCTGCTCTTTACTGGTTCAATCTTGCATTTTCTTCCATATCGTTCACTCCAGTACGTTGTTATTTTACTGTGTAGATTTGGGACCTGACCCTCCAGTATTTTCCATGTGTATATTATTTGGTATCTCTCTCGTCTCCTTTCTAGAGAGTACATTTGGAGAGCTTTGAGACGATCCCAATAATTTAGGTGTTTTATCTCGTCTATGCATGCCATATATGTTCTCTATATTTCCTCTATTTCAGCAATCTCTCCTGCTCTGAAGGGGGAAGTGAGTACTGTGCAGTACTCAAAACGGGACAACACAGATGACTTGTAGAGTACAACCATTGTGATGGGATCCCTGGATTTGAAAGTTCTCGTAATGCATCCGATCATTTTTCTGGCTGATGCAATATTTGCTTGGTTATGCTCCCTAAACGTCAGATCGTAGGACATCATTATTCCCAAATCCTTGACATGCTGTTTTTCTACTATGGGAAGATTCGATTGTGTTTTGTACCCTGTATTATGTTTCAGATCCTCATTTTTGCCGTACCTGAGTACCTGAAATTTATCACTGTTAAACATCATGTTATTTTCTGCTGCCCAATCGAAAACTTTGTTGACATCTGCTTGTAGTTTTTCAATGTCTTCAGCAGAGGTAATTTTCATGCTGATTTTTGTGTCATCTGCAAAGGACGACACGAAGCTGTGACGTGTATTTTTGTCTATATCAGATATGAGAATAAGGAACAGTAGCGGTGCAAGGACTGTACCTTGAGGTACGGAGCTTTTAACATCGCTTGGACTCGATTTTATCTGATTGACTGTTACTCTTTGTGTTCTGTTCGACAGGAAATTGAGTATCCAGCGTCCTACTTTTCCAGTTATTCCCATTGACCTCATTTTGTGCGCTATCACCCCATGGTCACATTTGTCGAACGCCTTTGCAAAGTCTGTGTATACAACATCTGCATTTTGCTTTTCTTCTAGGGCTTCTGTGATTTTGTCATAGTGGTTGAGTAACTGTGACAGACAGGATCTTCCCGCTCTAAATCCATGTTGTCCTGGATTGTGCAATTCATTGTTTTCCATAAAACTTGAAATTTGATTCCTAATCACTCTTTCAAACACTTTTATTATGTGTGATGTTAGTGCAACTGGCCTATAATTTTTTGCCAAGGCTTTACTCCCTCCCTTGTGCAACGGAGCTATATCTGCAGATTTAAGTGCTGCTGGTATCTCCCCTGTATCCAGGCTCTTTTTCCATATTACGCTAAGTGCTCTCGCTACTGGTACTTTACATTTCTTTATGAATATTGAATTCCATGAGTCAGGCCCAGGAGCTGAGTGCATAGGCATATTGTCAATTTCTCTTTCAAAGTCTTCCGAGTTTGTGGTAATATCCGTTATACTATCGGCAGCTTGAATGTCATTCATAAAGAAGCTGTCTGGGTCATCAACTTTCATGTTGTTTATTGGTGTGCTAAACATAGCCTCATACTGGCTTCTTAGAATTTCACTAATCTCTTTGTCGTCCTCTGTGTACGTACCTTCATTTGTAATTAACGGTCCAATACTGGTCGAGGTTTTGGATTTTGATTTTGCGTATGAGAAAAAATATTTCGGATTTTTCCTTATCTCGTCTATAGCTTTCTTTTCCAATTCCATTTCCTCAGACTCATATGATCGCTTCAACGTTTGTTCTATTTTTCGATCTCCCTGCTTAGGCTTGTTTTCCTTGCTTGTGATAGTTGTGTCTGCCGTAGCATTTCCGTTATTTTTTTCCTTCTCCTGTACAGTCGTGTGCGTTCTCTTTCTAGAGTGGTCCTCTTTCTGCCCCTCCTCACAGGCACGTGCTTCAAGCAGACCTTGTAAGCTTCAGCTGTCAGTTGAGCTATTCCCTGTGTGGGAGTTTTGTCGCTTAAAACCGTCTCATATTGAATGGTTGGAAGGTCTACATTTATTTTTTCCCAGTCAATCCTCCTATTGTTGAAATTGAATTGATTGAATATTCTTCCTCGCTTGTTGGGTCTCTTAGACCTACTACCGTTATTTATGCTAGTTCGCACTTCGATGAGCTTATGGTCTGAGTATGAAGTATCTGAGATTGTGATGTCTCTGATTAGTTCATTATTGTTTGTGAATAACAAGTCTAGTGTGTTTTCGTTCCTAGTTGGTTCTGTAATCTGTTGATTGAGCGAGAATTTGTCACAGAATCTCAAAAGTTCTCTGACCTGTGGTTGGTTATTTCCCGGGGTCATTCCCTGCTATGATATTTGTGTTTGCCATTCTCCATCTTAGACTCGGTAAATTGAAATCTCCAAGGAAGATAATATCTGGAGCTGGGTTTGCTAGGTTGTCAATTATGTTCTCTATTTTGTGCATCTGCTCTGTGAATTCCTCAACCGTTGTATCTGGCGGTTTATATATTAGAATAATAATTAGGTTTAGTTTCTCTACCTTAATTCCAAGTACCTCTACCACCTCATTAGTTGAGTTTAGTAGTTCTGTGCATACCAGGTCTTCTTTAATATACAGACCTACTCCTCCATTTGACCTAGTTTTTCTATCACATCTATATAAATTATAATTTGGAATCCAGATTTCACCATCCATGTAATCTTTTATATGAGTTTCCGTGAATGCCCCAAATATTGAGTATGACTCTAATAGGAGGCCATTTATGAACTTATCTTTATTACTTGACTTTGGCTTTAAACCTTGAATGTTTGCAAATATGAATGATTGTCCATGTTGTGTGTCACTTCTGGAAGGTTTTGGTAGTTCTCCCTCCTCTCTACCCTGACCCAGGGTGTGTCCTCTCTACCCTGACCCAGGGTGTGTCCTCTCCACCCTGACCCAGGGTGTGTCCTCTCTACCCTGACCCAGGGTGTGTTGTTGTGGCAATGGTTTGTCCAGTTTTGGAAGTGATACTGGGGAGTGTGGTAGCTCTTGCCTATGTATCTTACACCAGTTTACTTACATATACCAGGAAACCATATTTAGGAAACCTCAATCTATAGAATTAAATAAACTAATGTTTAAACTGTCAACCCCTTGTGTGTTAATTGTACCTGGTTACGTATTTGTCACCAGGTACAGTTAACAAACAATGGGTTGACAGTTTAAACATTAGTTTATTTAATTCTTTAGAATGAGGATTCCTAAATAGGGTTTCCTGGTATATTCAAGTAAACTGGTGTAAGATATAAAGGCAAGAGCGCAGTACTCACGGAAAATTAATATCAATTTTGATGTAGAGTAAAAGGTAGATTTCAGAGCTCATGATACTGCAGTCTCTCAACAAATCCCAACAAGTACTGATGAGCTAACTGTTTACTCTGACCTCGTGGTCTGATGGCCGTAATGGTCAAGTATTCCTTCCCGAGGAAGTTGACTTCAGTATTGATCTCAATAAATTCAGTATGAATTTATTGTTGTATAATGCTGAGGGTGTGCAAATACATACAACGTCATGGTATGATTAGTTTATATTAGTTCTACTTCTAATTGTCTCAAAATCCTAATTTTGTGATATATATTGTCTTTATAAGGTATTATCTTTCAAATTCTTAGCTAAATGTCACTCACTTTAAGCCTAATATTTACTTTTTATTTAGATGGCTATACACCTGTTTAGTGTAGTGATCACTGAAGTGATCTCTAAAAGTTGTCCCCAAGTTTAGTGTAGTCATCAGTGAAGTGATCTCTAAAAGTTGTCCCCAAGTTTAGTGTAGTCATCAGTGAAGTGATCTCTAAAAGTTGTCCCCAAGTTTAGTGTAGTCATCAGTGAAGTGATCTCTACAAGTTGTCCCCAAGTTTAGTGTAGTGATCACTGAAGTGATCTCTAAAAGTTGTCCCCAAGTTTAGTGTAGTGATCACTGAAGTGATCTCTAAAAGTTGTCCCCAAGTTTAGTGTAGTCATCAGTGAAGTGATCTCTACAAGTTGTCCCCAAGTTTAGTGTAGTGATCACTGAAGTGATCTCTAAAAGTTGTCCCCAAGTTTAGTGTAGTGATCACTGAAGTGATCTCTAAAAGTTGTCCCCAAGTTCAGTGTAGTGATCACTGAAGTGATCTCTACAAGTTGTCCCCAAGTTTAGTGTAGTGATCACTGAAGTGATCTCTACAAGTTGTCCCCAAGTTTAGTGTAGTGATCACTGAAGTGATCTCTACAAGTTGTCCCCAAGTTTAGTGTAGTGATCACTGAAGTGATCTCTAAAAGTTGTCCCCAAGTTCAGTGTAGTGATCACTGAAGTGATCTCTACAAGTTGTCCCCAAGTTTAGTGTAGTGATCACTGAAGTGATCCTTACAAGTGTTCACCAAGCAAGTTTGTGATTCTAGTAATGACAATGTTTACTTACTATGCTCCTACTGGGACATTCTTACGTAAGTAATGTACTGTACTATAGATGTAAACTCTCCTGGTTACAAATGTACAACCATTTGTCAGAATTATCAGAATTTAATTTTTAATTGATTGATATAGATATAGATATAAGGAGTGTAAATAGTAATAAACAAGATAAGAATCTATTATCTATTGGGCCTTTGGAAGAACAATAGATGATAAACTATTAAACAATACTTTTAGGTTCTTAATGAAAAAAATAACAAATCAATTATCAAATGATACCAAACTCATCAAAATTAATAAATCATTAAACTGAACGAAGTTTTCCATAATATTATCTTAATTCACTTCATTCAAAATATTATTTTACCATGTTAGTATATATCAGTTAGTCGTTAGGCCTAAGTATCGTCATACCCGCTTTCTACAATAGGATAAAGTGGGGCTTTTACAAGCTGTAGACTGTTGTGACTTGCTGTTACAATTTGTTGGCAAAGGGAAGTGAGTCAGAGATTTATGGTTCTATAGTTTTCTCTCATTAATAATATCAATGTAAATAACACGTAGTTTTTCCTCAGTGGCGAGTGATGTATTTACTAATGACAGTAATGAGGGGATGTATTGGAGTGGCCAGAGAAGACAGATCACAACACCTGTCTTCGTGACTCAGGTCAGCGCTGGACAGGGAAAAAACAGCCTAATAGACTCGTAAATTAAGGATCATTACGTTTTGGTTGGTGTTTCATATATTAGGTTTTGTTTGGTGTTTCAGATATTGAGGCCAATACAGACTCCTTCGAAATGTGGAGGCTCAAACCACCAGCAGAAATAGTTCAGGATTCAGCTCGAGGATGGGTTACAGCAGTTGGTGATCTTCTTGGCCCTACACTTAAGGTTTGATCACTTTAAAATTCATTGCAACAAAATTTGTATGAAAAAGAAAAGCAAATCTCAGCCTTTTCATACAATACATAATTGCATAAAATATGTTAACACTCCAAAGTACATTATATATATATATATATATATATATATATATATATATATATATATATATATATATATATATATATATATATATATATGCGTGCTGTATCCTGGGTACGCACCCAACCTCCTAGGAGCTGGACGAGGTCTTCGAACGCTGATTGTTTAATTGTTATATCGCTGGACACGTTCAAGTGAATTTATATCCATTCTTTAGTACAGCGACCAAAACTGAACTGCATAATCTAAATGGGGCCTAACCAGAGCAAGATATAGCTGAAGAACCACACCAGGTGTCTTGTTACTAGCGCTTTGATTAATAAATCCCAGTGTCTTATTTGCCTTATTACGAACATTCATGCATTGATCCTTTTGTTTTAAATTCTTACTAATCATAATTCCTAGATACCTTTCGCAATCAGACTTCGCAATCTCAACATCATCCAACCCGTATCTTGTAACTTTATCATCATTACCTAGCCTCAAAACTTTACATTTATCAGCATTAAACTGTATATGCCAATCTTTTGACCATTTCAAAACCCTATTTAGATCAACTTGAAGTGATAGTGAGTCTTCTTTCGTGTTAATTTCCCTACCAATTGTTGTATCATCTGCAAATTTGCAAATGTTGCTACTCAAACCTGAATCTAAATCATTTATATATGTATATTATAAACAGCAGAGGTCCCAGGACAGAGCCTTGAGGCACTCCACTAACAACATTATCCCACACTGACTTAACCCCATTTTTACTAACTCTGTTTCCTTTGGAATAGTAATGCCCTAATCCAGCTTAATATAGCACCCCCAATACCATGAGCCTCTATATTTTTAATCAGTCTTTCTTGTGGCACTGTATCAAAAGCTTTGCTAAAGTCAAGGTACACAACATCACAATCCTTATCACTATCCTCAACTATGGTGGGGTAAAAAGATAGCAAATTTGTTAAACATGAAGGGCCATTTGTATAACCATGTTGCACCTCATTTATTAATTTATGTGTTTCAAAATGACGACGAATTGTATTTGCAATTATCGATTCAATTAACTTTCCCACAATAGACGTTATGCTAATTGGCCTATAGTTTGACGCAAGTGACCCCCCCTCCCTGTTCAGCTTGTTAATGCTGTGAGGGGGGCTCAGTTGGCGGCTGCCAGAGTGTGATGTTCCTTGGGACAGTCCTATGTCCTTTTCTAGTGTTGTGCTCCTGCTGCTGTCCTCTCTAATTGTGCTGAACAACTTTTCCTTTTCCTTCTGTTTCGTTTTTCTCCCCCTCTTCTCCTATCTGCTTGTCGTTTCCTGGCGACCTTTTGCTTGTTTTGGTTAGTCCTTTGAACTTCTTCTATTTTGACGCCCGGGTGCTTGAGGAGGCATACTCTTGCACCCGTAGAACTGCAGTACCCGACGTCGAGAGCGAGGGGGAACCTTTTATTGTCAATCATCCTTTCGACACTGAACCCGATCTAGACGGACTGACGGTTTTTAAGGTGGCGTTTGTGGGGCGTATACTCACGACGCACCCATAGGAGGCCCTGGCATGATCGGCGATAGCTTCTTGTTGGGTGTCCTGCCTCTAATTGTGGCTCCATGGTGGGTGTGGGGGCACATTCGTGAATGAATGTTTCTTTTTCGTCCTCATGTTGCATTGTGTTCATCCTTTATCTTCTCAGGCTCGTGGAGTGGGCGACCAAGCCCCCGAGTCGGTCCGTGTTGAAAGACTGGGATTTGTAGCCTCCGCTGCATTTGGCCCCGACCTTGCTCCTCCTTTGGCCTCTCTGACTACTCCCCTCGGCTCCCCTGCATCCTCTGTGGTTGGGTCGAGCCCCAAGCCCCCAGTGGTGACTACCTCGTCCCCTGGCACTGCTCAGTCTCTAGTTGTGACTACTGCGCCTTTAACCCCCTCTCTCTCTCTCCGGGTTCTCAACGCCGTCCTCGACACGGCCGCACTCGCTCGATTCTTTCCTGTTCTGATGCCTTTCAAGTCTTGTTTGGTCCCGCTTCGTGGGCCAAATACTTTGATCTCTTCCCTCTTGATTCTGCGCCTCCTGACGATTTCTCCCTTCATAGGCACCTTGTAGATTCCATAGATGTCTCTATCACCTTCAACCCCACCTGTCTCGGTACACGTGTCGTTGCTGCTCTTTCTCAGGATGCGGCTTCCCGCTTGGCTGCTTTATCGAGCTTTGACGAGACCCCTGTTCGGGTCTCCAAGAACGCTCGGTTGAATGCCCGTGTTGGCACTATTCTCCTCCCGCCCCATGTTGCGACCGGTGTTCGGAATCTGCAGGACTGCCACGATGATATTCGGCATATCCTCGATGCCCAGGGCCATTCTGTCCTTCAGGTAGACACGTTTACTCGTCCTCCTCGTGGTCGTCGCCGTCAACCCCTTTGGGTTGTAAAGATAACCTCTGATGGTAGGACCCTTCCACCCTCTGTCATTCTTGCTGGTGCCAGGTGTTCTGTCCAGGAGTACATTCCTTCTCCTAGGCTCTAACAAGTGCTGGAGGTTTGGGCATGGTGCCCTCCGCTGCTCTGGGACTGTCTCTCTCTGTCCTTTGTGTTGGGGCGAAGGTCACTCTAAGTCGGAGTGCACTTCTCCCCAGGCTCGCTGCCTCAACTGCTGTGAGGCCCATCCTACCTTCTCCCGTGCCTATATCCATTACAAGCTTGAGGCAGCCGTCCTCAACTTGAAGCACCGGGAGCGTTTATCTTTTCCTGAGGTGAGGCGCCAGGTTCGCCGGCTCCCGCTGTATGCAAATGTCTCTTATGCTCGCGTGTTGCTCTCTTCCTCTCCTCGTCCTTCCCACCTTCCTCAGACTCACAACCGTTTCCGGGCCTTGGACCCTGATACGCCCACTGCCCCCTCCTCTGTCCCTTTGAGTTCTGTCCCGAAGGGTCCCCCTTCTGGTCCTCTGTCTGGGGTTCCCCTTTTTTCTACCCGGTCTGTCATGTCTCCTGTGTCTTCTTCCTCGTCTCCCTCCGATCCTCCTTCCCATCCTTCTCCTCCGTCTATTGACTCTCCCCGCCGCCTGTCGGTGCGTGCTGATGTCCATCGCTCTCCTAACGGCCGTCGTGTATGCTCTCGTTCAGTTTCTCCTGTTGAGACGCTGGAATCCGTTGCCCGGTACGTAGTTGCTGGGACGCCGATCTCTTTAAGTGATTTGATTTGATTGTTGCCGCCTAAGGCGGCTAGTTTATTGTGCACCCCATACTCATCCTGTGAGCGGTAGCGCAAAAGCATTACAGAGGGCACAAAAGGTCTTTATCACACCTCATCTTAGATTATTACATAAACAATTTCTTCTATCCTTCACACCTTATAGTTACAATGTCAGCTAGTTACAGAGAAAGTGCTATTACAAGAGCTACATATTTACAGTAAGTCATCATACATTAATGGTAAGTCTTATCGCAAATACAAATTATCTCTTTAAGTCAGAAGCATAAGCCTGGCTCCTCTCCTTCCTCCTCCCTGGCAGGTAAGAAGGCTTCGCTTTCTTCCTCGGCCCCTACTACTGACTCTATCGCTCCTTCCCCTCCCATTTCGGTGGTTGCGCCCCCTGTTCCTGCTATGGAGGTTTCTTTGGCCCCCGCTTCCCTCTTGGTTGCTGCCCTTGCTGAGGTGCGCTCCCCTCTTTCTCCTCCACCTCTTCCTGCTGCTCTCGTTGACTGCTCCTCTCGGTTGTCTCCTCCTCCTCCGGACCCCGCCCGCCCACCTTTGGTCTGTTTTCCCGCTTCCTTCCCTCCGTCTTTGCTCAGTTTACCCATGCCCCCTAACCCTGACTTTGCTGACCCTGATATTCTTTAACGTGCTCTGTTGCTCTTTTGCCTTTGTTTCTTCCTTGTTCTCTGTTGTTGTCCTTTCTCTTTTCGTCAATGTCTGTTCTTCAATGGAACGTTCGAGGTTATTACGCCAATTTCCTTGAACTCCAACTTCTGATTTCGTGGTTTTCGCCCCTTTGTGTCTGTCTCCAGGAGCCGATGCTTGGTTCTCATCCTGGTCGCTTTCGTGGCTATTCCTTTCTTTCCCCCTCCCCCCAGCTGTTGCTGGGGCTCGTAATTCTTCTGCTATATTGATTCGCTCTGAGGTTCCCTTTGTCCCCTTACTTTTTCCTTCGCCTCTCCATTGTTCTGCTGCTCGTATCTTTGTGGGGAAATGGTACACAGTTTGTTCCATTTATCTCCCCCCGAGTGTCCCGCTTTCTCTTCCTGATCTAAGACACCTACTGGACTCCTTGCCAGAGCCTGTGCTCCGGTTGGGCGATTTCAGTTGTCATTCCCTTTGGGGTGATGTTCTGACGAAAACCCGAGGTCGCCTTCTTGAGCCGTTTATCCTCTTTTCTTCCCTGTTTTTTCTGAATTCTGGATAGTCCACACATTTGGACTCTCGGACTCGCACCCTTTCCTGTCTTGATCTTTCTCTTTGCTCGTCTTCTCTTTACTTAGATTTCACGTGGCAGGTTCTTGATGACCTCCATGGCAGTGACCATTTACCCATCCTTGTTACCTTTTTCTCTTTTCGCCCTCCCCTCTCCCTCCCTAGGTGGCAGTTTGCTAAAGCGGAATGGAACCTATTTACCCTCAGTGCTGCTCTTTCTGACCTCTCCCTTCTGCCTCTCCCTCGCTCTCTCCTCCTTTTTCATGACTCTGTCTTCGACGCTGCCCTCCGCTCTATTCCTCGTTCTTCCTCTCGGGATCTAAAGAAGTGTGTTCCCTGGTGGAATGCGGACTGTGCTCGGGCTGTCCGCTGTAAGCGTGCAGCCTGGAAGAGACACCGCCGTCGGCAGACGGCCGATTCTTTTCTTTTCTTTCGGAAGGCGAGTGCAGTGGCCCGTAGGGCCATCCGTACGGCTAAACGTGAATGTTGGGCATCTTATGTCTCCACCATTACGTCCGAAACTCCTCTGCCACAGATCTGGAAGCATATCTGCAAGATAGCGGGTAAGTTCGTTCCCGATGTTTCACCGGTCCTTCACCTCCATGATACTCTTGTGGCGGTCCCGTTGCATGTCGCTAACGAACTTGGTTCCCACTTTTCTTCTGTTAGCTCTGGTCTTCATCTTCCCCGATCTTTCCGTCTTCATAAACCTGTCCTTGAATCTCGTCCTTTCGATTTCTGCACTCATCTTCAGCTTCCCTATAATGATCCCTTCTCTCTCTCTGAACTTCGTTCTGCCCTGGCCCTCTGCGGTTCTACGGCAGTGGACTCCGATGGCATTCATTATGAGATGCTTCGCCATATCCCTCTGTGCACGTCTCAGTAATTACTGAGTCTGTATAATCGGATCTAGGAGTCGTCGTCAGTCCCTGAGGACTGGCTCGATGCCGTTGTCCTCCCTGTTGGCAAATCAGGGTCTCTGGGAACATCCCCTAAGGACTTTCGCCCTATTGCCCTCACAAGTTGTGTCTGCAAACTCTTTGAACGTTTGAACGGTTAACGTTTGTCTGATGTGGTTCCTGGAACACCATCATCTCCTCTCTCCTTCTCAATTTGGTTTCCGCAAGTGCCACAGCACAGCAGATGTCCTGGTGAACTTGGAGGTCTATATTCGTACTGCTTTTGCTGCGAAGACCTTCATTGTTGCCGTCCTTTTTGATCTGGAAAAGGCTTACGACACCACTTGGCGTTATCATATTCTATCCTATCTTCATTCTTTTGGCCTTCGTGGTCATCTCCCTCTCTTTCTCTGCAGCTTCCTCTCTCGTCGTTCCTTGCGGGTGAGGCTTGGTACCGCTCTTTCTGCCTCTTTTCAACAATACAAAGGTGTGCCTCTGTGTACTGTTCTGAGCACTACTCTTCTTCTGGTTGCCCACACTGGTATTCTTTCCTCTCTTCCTTCTGGCGTCTTCTCCGCTCTCTATGTAGATGATCTTACCCTTTGCTGTCAGGGTGATAATTCGCCTCTCCTTCAACGCCGGCTTCAACTTGTGATTGATGCCGTGTCGTCTTGGGCCTCCGATCAAGGCTTCAAGTTCTCTACTTCTAAGATATGTGCCATGACTTTTACTCGGAAACGGGTCGTTCTTCGTCGCTCTTTGTCACTTTATGGTCATCTTCTTGAATACAAAGATTCCGCGAAGCTTTTGGGGTTATTCCTTGACACTCGTTTGTCTTGGTCTCCCCATATCTCTTACCTCCGTGAAGAGTGCTCTAAGGTCCTTACCCTCCTTCGGGTATTGTCCTATACCTCTTGGGGAGCGGATAGGCGCACTCTCCTTGCTTTACATTCCTTTCTCGTCCTGTCTAAGCTCGATTATGGTTGCCCTGCTTACTCGTCTGCTTCTCCTTCTTGATGCTTTGCACCATACTGGGTTGCACCTCAGTTCTGGTGCCCTTCGTTCGACTCCCGTCCTTAGCTTGTATGTTGACACTGGCTTCCTGTCTCTTCAGGACCGCCGTGATCGCTACTGTCTTCGCTATCTTGCGCGGTTCTTTCAACATCCTTCGTCTCGCCTCTGTCGTGCTTTAACTTTTACCCCTCCTGCGGTTCTGTTCCTCTTCACCACCTCCCTCTTTCTGTCTGGTTATCACGATTACAGGATTCTCTTTCCGTTTGTGTTTCTAATGTTTCTCCTCGTGTTGTTCCTTCTTTGCCCCCGTGGAGAGTCCCCCTTCCGCGGTTTTGTACATCCTTGACCCGCATCACTTAAGCTTTTACCCCTTCTACGGTTCTAGAACGCCTTTTCCTTGAGCACTTTTCTTCTCACTCCCGCTCCGTTTCTGTCTTAACCGATGGGTCTAAGTCTGCGGACGGTGTTAGCTACTGTGTTGTTTTTCCTGATCGCACTTATATGTGTCGCTTACCTCTGGAGACTAGCATCTTTAGAGCAGAGCTTTATGCTATTCTCTATGCTCTTCGTCTCCTGCTTTCTCGTTTTCAGTCTTCCTTTGTAGTTGTTGTTGACTCTCGTAATGCCCTCATGGCTCTCGGGTCCTTTAATCCGGTTCATCCAGTAGTTTTCGAGATCCAGCATTGGCTGTTTCTTGTTACAGTAAATTTAAGTCGGTTGAGTTTTGTTGAGTTCCCAGCCATATTGGTGTCTTTAAATGAGCGTGCGGATGCTGCCGCCAAGGAAGCTGTCCACTCTTGTCCCATCTCACGTAAAGGTATTCCATATTCCGACTTTTACCCAGTTATCCATTCCTCCATCCTTACCCGTTGGCATGCTTCTTGGTTGTCTGTTACTGGTAACAAACTACGTACTCTTAAATGTTGTGTTTTCCTCGTGGCCGTCCTCCTTCCACCGTAACCGGCGGTGGGAAACAGCTCTGGCGAGGTTGCGTATTGGCCATACTCGCTTAACCCATGGTCACTTGATGGAGCTCCGCCCTGCTCCTTATTGTCCTAGTTGCATTGTCCCTCTTACGGTCGTGCATGTCCTTCTTGAATGTCCTGACTTCCAGGATGAGCGTGTGTCTTGCTTTCCGACCGCCCCTCGCAGTCACCTTAATCGAATTCTTGGTGACTCGGATACTTTTGATATCGTTCCCTTTATGCATTTTTGTTAGCGTATTGGCATCCTTGGTGATATTTAGCGCCCTCTGATTATTCCGCACATTTGATGGTGATATTTAGCGCCCTCTGATTATTCCGCACATTTGATGGTGCTACATAGCCTTCCCGGTTTGGTGCCTTCTTTTGATAATTACTTACTTGAGACTAAGGCCTTCCCCTTATCCCTTCGTAACAGCAAGTTGGGATAAAGTTCCTTCTTGCTCCACTCTCTAGCTTGACTCTGGAGATGACTTGTGATACACACAAATTCTCCTCACTCTCATTAATAAAGGACAAGGCATACAACGGACCTTGCAATAACTTTGGTCTGCTGAAGGTTTAGGCTTTCCGTAGATACCAAGCATGGAAGACCTAGGTCTTTATTTAACAAAACTTGATAGAGTGCACTCACTCTGTGCACTCTGGAGAACACTTCCTGATTCATCTAACATTGTGCACTCACTTAGCACAACTTAAGATAGCTGTCATACTTCATTCTCTCACATCCCCCTCACGGTAATGCATAAACACTGTTGCATAAATACCCCCTTATCCACTAGAGCACCTTAACTGTAATTCCTGCCTGTTTCTCCACATTCTGAAACAGCCTCTTATGGGGTATTGTGTCAAAGGTTTTATGACAGTCCATGAAATTGCAGTCTGTCAACTCTTCTCTTTCATGCCTATTTTTTGTCACTTGGGAATAGAATTCTATTAAACCTGTGAGGCACGATTTACCATCCTTGATCCCCCATGCTGGTGATGTGTTACAAAGCTCCTTCTCTCCAGATGCTCTACGGGGTTTTTCTTCGCGATGTTCTCCATCACCTTTCATGGTATACAAGCTAGGGAAACAGGCCTGTAGTTCAGTATCTTTTGCCTATCACTCCTTTTGTATACTGGGACTGTATTAGTTGTCTTCCAACTATTTGGTAGGTCTCCTGTTTCCAGTGACCTGTTATACACCATGGAGAGTAACAAATGGACTTAATCCACACTAACATTATAAATTATTTACCAACAGCTGTTATGAGTTACATTATTGAGGAATTTCACAAATTCTAAGAGTTTATATTCAATATTTTTTTTACATTCATTTGTGTTTCTTTCAGAATCTGGGTTCACTGGTGCGAATGCCATATGGTTGTGGAGAACAGAATATGCTAAACTTCGCTCCCAACATTTTCATTCTTCAGTATCTTGAAGCCTCGAACCAGACAACTCTGGACATTGGCAACAAAGCTATTGAATACATGAAGCAAGGCAAGTAATATTTTTTTTATCTGGCAACAAATGTTCTCAGTACAGCCGGAAAGTTTGTTGTCGGACGAAACTAAACATAATATACTTCTTGAGGCACGTTAACATTCCCAGAATACATGAAGCAAGTCAATCACTTGCGTCAATCACAATCGACTTAATAATGGTCCAGGACGGACCGAAAAGTCGTCGTTTCTTCAGTTTGTAGTGTGTGGTCTGGTCAACATTGCCAGAATACTAGTTGTGTGCATCCCTCTGCTCCTGGTGCTCCCATTACACATAAAGTAAAGATGGCTACCAAAGCTTATCTGGAAATTTAACCCCTTAAACCTAAGCTAATAAGCTGCGGCTTTCAGGAGAACGAAGACCTGAAGTCCAGCTCAAGCACTCTCGCCAATGATTAAGTGATCATAACATTAAGGTTCTTGACTGATCATCACAACGTCCGCACCTCACAACAATACAACATTTGTAGTATTGTAACACCAGACCTTGCATAGTTAAACCTCGCACGTTCCACAATATATACGACACATATCAAGCAAGATATCAAAACTGTGACACAAAGGCTTTGTTTTCAATTTGACATTTTATAAATTTCTTTATTATGCACCCCATACTCATTCCGTTGGGCGGTGGAGAAGAGGGTTATAGAGGTACATATTGGGCTCAGGAACTGAACCACATAGTTCATTTTGCTAAGCAAGTGACAATCTCATGAAGCAAGTTACGCAATTTTTAATATTACATACACAGTTACATATACATTAATATTACATACACAGTTACATATACATTAATATACACAAATACATATAGATTCATATACACAAATACATATAGATCCATATACACAAATACATATAGATCCATATACACAAATACATATTCATATCAATAAACTTTTAATAGCACAAGTGATTCATCAAGAAGCTCACAACACTATACAAGGCACTTTACATCTATGGTGAGTCACACAGTTACTAGTCTTGCTCCACACCCACCCAACTGGGCGGCAGCTTTACAGTCATGTATGCATTACCTACAGTAAGCAAACCTTAGATGCTTCGCCAAGATTCCTGGCAGCACATCATTATATATAAAGTACTTGCACATTTCTTGGACACCATTGATGGTGTTATATCTGAATTCCGCGATTTTTTCACATTCAATTATATAATAATGCAAAGTATGCTGACAGAGTTTACATTTAGTCAAATCTACATGTTGCAAAAAATCTACATGTTGCAAAAAATCTACATGTTGCAACATCTACAGAAGTTGCAATCTACCGGAGGTACTTGTAGCAGAGCCTAAGCCTAGCAGTGGTAACATCTAGAAGTCTGCTAACCTTATTGGATGACCCATAGACGTGCAGTTCTTCCTGCATAATAGAATGATAATAGATGGAGGAACTGGTGTGAATTTCACTTTGTCTCAGTTCTATGAGATTTTGTTGACGTTCCCGGAATATTACTGCCCTCAGGCTCCTCAAAGGCAGCCCAAGATGATAATCAATTCCCTCTTTATGAACAGAAGTTTTAGCTAACGCACCAGTTCTGTCATGCATTCGTAGACCAATTTAGGAAGGAATTCACTTTGGTTTAATTGTAAAATAAAAATATATACTGGCCACAAGTACGAGCTAGCTATCGATTGTGTGTGCAGCGCCGCTGCTCAAGATGGTCTTCTCGAGGGTGGTGTGTCTTCCCGTGATGCTTCATCTGCAGTTCTGCTGACGCTGCTATTGACAATGCTGTCGATATAAGCATTTAAGATGAGGATATTAATAGACACCTCATGTGTGACCAATGTGTGTCCAACACGGCTCGGCACGTTATCATCGTCGTCCTCGACGATTTGCACTTCTTGGTTGTGTATCTAACTAACATTTATGTACATTTATCTAGTGGCCTTAAACGAGCTTTAAAATGTCCAACAGATTACTGCTCGGTCAGTCATACTTGGCCAAGACTCGAACCCCGACGAAATCACTGGTGAGGTGCGGGCTGAGTTTACTGCCAACGTGCCATCAGGGACAATGACAGTTGACTATAATTTTGCACCATAGTTGTCATTAGATTTCCCAGCATAAGTCTTTGCTTTGTGTCCCTTATCTCGATTTATTTTCATTGTTGACCAAACCACACTAGAAAGTGAAGGGACGACGACGTTTCGGGCCGTCCTGGACCATTCTCAAGTCGATTGTGGTTTGACTTGAGAATGGTCCAGGATTGTGACACTCGTAATCGACTTGAGAATGGTCCAGGACGGCCCGAAACGTCATCGTCCCTTCACTTTCTAGTGTGTAGTTTGGTCAACATATTTCAGCCACGTTATTGTGACTCCTCGCCTGTATTTATTTTCAATGTTTTCAAATATGTCTAATATGTAGGCGGCTTTTATGTTAATTTTTCATTAGGTATTAGGCGGTAGGTATTAGGGGGATGGTATTAGGCGGATGGTATTAGGCGGAAGGTATTAGGCGGATGGTATTAGGTGGAAGGTATTAGGCGGAAGGTATTAGGCGGATGGTATTAGGGGGGATGGTATTAGGCGGATGGTATTAGGCGGATGGTATTAGGCAGATTTTACTAGGAGGGTGGAGTTTGGTGGACGTTATTAGGTGGATGGTATTAGATTGTTGTTATTAGGTGGATGGTATTACGTGAATAGTATTAGGTGGGTGGAATTAAGTGGATGGTATTTGGCAGATGTTACTAGTGGATGGTATTGGACGGATGTTATTAGGTGGATGCTATTAAGAGGATGGTATTAGGTGGGTGGTATTAGATTGATAGAATTAGGTAGATGGTATTAGATGGATGATATTAGGTGAATAGTATTAGGTGGATAGTATTAGACGGATGCTATTAGGCGGGAGATATTAGGTGGATAAGGTACAAGGAAGATGTTATTAGGTGGTTAGTATTTTGTGGATGGTATTAGGTGGATGTTATTAGGTGGATGGTATTCGGGGGATGTTATGTGGATGGTATTAGGTTGAAGGCAAGAGGAGGTGGTATTTGGCGGGTGGTATTAGGTAGATGGTATTAAGTGTAGGGTATTAGGTGGATATTGTCAGAAAAACCGACTCCATTTACTAACAATATATAATAGGCAGATAATATTGCTGCTGATTTACTTCTAACAAACTCAAAGAAAACGAGATTGCAGTTGAATTTTCCTTGGAAGAAAACGGTGATATCATTGTCATATGTCACCATGAAATTCAACAATTATAATAATATATCAACTATAATAATATTACATAACTACAATAATATTGGGAATTCTTCTTAAAACATCAGTCTCTGGACTGTAAACATCATAAAAACATTTTTCTTGAATGAACTTAATTAACAGTATTAAAATAAAATAGATTAAATGTGAACTCTCTTTCCACTTCTTGATTAAAACACACATCTGGTGCTGACACCGGAGGCGTGAGAGTGAGAGGAGGCAAACACCATTACATTTAACGTAAACAAAGTCTGGCTGGAGCTCACGAAGCTCCAGAATATTCCCTCTAGACGTAGTGTTATGGGATGTAGAGAGCTCCCATCATCAGCACGCTCGCTCTTCGTCAACAATAAGGGAAGTGTTCGATATCCGATAACGCGTTAAATCTAGTCATTCCTGCCAGTAATGTTAGGGTACATTAGGGTATACCCGTGAGAACGCATTGCGATCCACCCAAACAGGGAAATTATTAATTAAATCTTATCTAATAAATTACAATATTTTCCCTGATATAACTGTCATATATAAGTTACGATTATTATTGTGAGGGCCTTTTGACAGGTGAAATTGAAGGGGAAGAAGACTTAGTAACAATTACCTTATACAACACTTGACATGGGAAGACTCCAGCTTCACCTACAAGGAGTATTAGTTTGTGTTATCTGCTGCATTATATCCGGTTGTCCAGGCCAGAACTACCACACAGATAAGGCTTCACCATTTTATTTACCAATCATTGTAGTCTTAATATCGTAATGAATAATATTGCTAGGAAATATTAGGAAATAGGAATAGGAAACCCCCTCCCCCAGCTTGAATAGGAAACTATTTGTGGGAATTAAAACTCATACAGTCCACTTCAACATCATACAGTCCGCTACCTAAATAAATAAATTAACGTATGAAATATATTAATATATAAATTTAATATAAATCAATAAATCTCACGAGTCCGTTTCCCCACAGATGTTAATCGGTGGATGGTTTTAACTGGATAGTATTAAGTATTAGGCAGATGTTAATAATGGGTGGTATTAGAGGGATAGTATTAGGCAGATGTTAATAGGCTGATGTTATTAGGCGGTTGGTATTAGGTGGATGGTACTAGGTGGATGTTATTAGGTGGATAGAATTAGGTGGATGTTGTTGGGGAGATGGTACTTGACAGATGATATTAGTGGATAGTAATAGGTGGATGGCATTAGGTGGATGGTATTATGTGGGAGATATTAGGAGCAGGATATAAGGTGGATGTTAATAGGCGGGTGGTATTAAGCAGATGTTATTAGATGGATACGTTACTGAGCTATGTAACAGTAAGGACACCATGACACACATTAACAATGTCAGCAGATATAAACACACACCATAAAGCAGTGTTATGCTCGCCCCACAGTGACACAGTAACACAGTGACACAGTAACACAGTGACACAGACACAGTAACACAGTGACACAGTAACACAGTGACACAGTGACACAGTAACACAGTAACACAGTAAGGACTCCCATAACATACATAACCAACATTTCAGGATACCAGCAAGAGCTCAACTACCGTCACCAGGACGGGTCGTACAGTGCCTTTGGCCGCTCTGACTCCTCGGGCTCCACCTGGCTCACAGCCTTCGTGCTCAAGTCCTTCGCTCAAGCTCGCCAGTTTATCATGGTGAGCCAGATACAATTATAAGGTTGATATCAGCATAGTGTACTAGTAACATGTTTGCTTCACTAACAACATCTTCACCAATTTGACGGAGATTTGTCTTCTGCAACAGTGATCAATGTTTTTTGATGCCTTATTTATATTTTAATGTTTGAGCTTTCAGTATATTGCCTTGTGTGTTTTAATATTATTTTAATACTATGGGGATAACCAGCGCTGCCCGGGTCTATTTGTCTGTTTTTATACATCCATCAATATATATATATATATATATATATATATATATATATATATATATATATATATATATATATATATATATATATATATATATATATATATTAAAACCTAGAAAGGGTACCACCTCTGGTGCAAGTGTAGGGACCCCTAACCTCGAAGAAGAAAATAGAGTTCTGAGTTCTTCTCAGAGTTCTCAGAGAAGACCTTGTGGATCCTAACTGAACACTTTGATATTTTCTTCTCCTACCACCCCTATTCTTTTGGTATGTGTGTATATTTATCTTACTTTATTTGAAAATGTCATTACACAAAAAAAGTTATAATATTGATTACATGCAGGGTACAAGGCTGTTTGTCACAATTTGTATAGCTCCTGCAGCTCCTCAGATGGCAGGCAGGAACCAAGGATGCAGTGAGCATTTCCTCTCTGGATTGCCACACTAAAGCGCTGAAAAATAAAACTGGCAGCTCTAGGGTCTCTAGTTGTTTCGATTAGCTTAGACCCCAACTCCTTCAAAAAGCTAGCAGCACTTTTACCTCAGGCACCAAGTGTCTCTGAGGCAATGGGGACAAAATTGTAGTGGTGCTCAAGGTCTCTGTATTTACGTGACTTGGCCGCTTCCCGGTGATTGGCAGCACCTCCTGCTTGTGAAGCACTGAAGTCAACATAGGTATTGGCTAAAATTGAAACGCAAGTGTAGTCCCACATCTACATGTATATGTATATATATATATATATATATATATATATATATATATATATATATATAATATATATATATATATATATATATATATATATATATATATATATATATATATATATATATATATATATATATATAACTTTTTAGACACTCAACCCACCAGGGGACTCGAACACTGGCCAACAAGGTGGCAGTTGCATGCTGTATCCACTACACCATACTTCAAAGCCATAAGAGAGGTAGGAATTCTTGGGTATTTAACCAACCAGAACTCCAATCCTCTCCCAGGCAATGAGATAGTGTGGGACCTCTGATGCTCTTTCATCGGTTCCTGTTATATGGGAAAACTCAGTGCCAAATGCTTAATGCACAGACTACCCTATTCCAGTAGCTGAAGTTTATAACTTTTTAGACACTCAACCCACCAGGATACTCGAACACTGGCCAACAAGGTGGCAGTTGCATGCTGTATCCACTACACCATACTTCAAAGCCATAAGAGAGGTAGGAATTCTGGGGTATTTAACCAACCAGAACTCCAATCCTCTCCCAGGCAATGAGATAGTGTGGGACCTCTGATGCTCTTTCATCGGTTCCTGTTATATGGGAAAACTCAGTGCCAAATGCTTAATGCACAGACTACCCTATTCCAGTAGCTGAAGTTTATAACTTTTTAGACACTCAACCCACCAGGGGACTCGAACACTGGCCAACAAGGTGGCAGTTGCATGCTGTATCCACTACACCATACTTCAAAGCCATAAGAGAGGTAGGAATTCTGGGGTATTTAACCAACCAGAACTCCAATCCTCTCCCAGGCAATGAGATAGTGTGGGACCTCTGATGCTCTTTCATCGGTTCCTGTTATATAGGAAAACTCAGTGCCATATAACAGGAACCGATGAAAGAGCATCAGAGGTCCCACACTATCTCATTGCCTGGGAGAGGATTGGAGTTCTGGTTGGTTAAATACCCCAGAATTCCTACCTCTCTTATGGCTTTGAAGTATGGTGTAGTGGATACAGCATGCAACTGCCACCTTGTTGGCCAGTGTTCGAGTCCCCTGGTGGGTTGAGTGTCTAAAAAGTTATAAACTTCAGCTACTGGAATAGCATTTGTGCATTAAGCATTTGGCACTGAGTTTTTCCATATATATATATATATATATATATATATATATATATATATATATATATATATATATATATATATATATATATATATTATATATATATATATATTATATATATATATATATATATATATATATATATATAAATATATATATATATATATATATATATATATATATATATATATATATATATATATATATATATATATATATATATCTATATATATATATATATATTGATATATATATGTGTGTGTGTGTGTGTGTGTGTGTGTGTGTGTGTGTGTGTGTGTGTGTGTGTGTGTGTGTGTGTAAATCACGAAAAATAAACATGTGATTAAAAATGTGACAGTGTCAGACCACGGAGGAAGTATTGAAACAGGAATTTCCTTAAGTACTTTCGTATGTTTCCTGTCACTTTCGTACCTGTGACAGGAAAAAACATGCTTTTTTTGAAAAACAGCGTAATCTATTGGACGTAAAGGGAACACACGCTGTAATCTCCGAAAGTTCTTCACCGATTGCTTTGAAATTTTTGACACAACATTGCATTTGAATAGGTGCTTCTTTTTATATGCCTACTATAAAGATGCTAAACCTGTGACAGGTAAAAATGTGCGTTATTGAAAAACAGTGTCATCTGTTGCACATAATAGCAACATGCATGCTACACTAAATATGTCACGAATTCCATTTCAATGTTTTGAAATGCATCAATTGTATTGATAAATTTTATTTTCATAGATTTCAATTTATTTAATTTTTTATTGAATTATTTTATTTGACATTGTATTGAAATTGAGCTGTGTTGTTTAACATACCATTCATTTCGTAAGTATAAGTATAGATGCCATACCTGTGACAGGTAAAACTATGCCTTTCTTGAAAAACAGCGCAATCTGTTGCATGTAAGAGCAACACACATGCTATACTAAATATGTTACAATTCCATTTTAATGTTTCTGGTTGCATTGATAAATTGAATTTTCATAGATTTTTACATATTTTCATTTTCATTTATTTCTTTTGTGTGAATTGTATTGGAATCGAGCTGTGTTGTTTACCATACCGTTCATTTCGTGAGTATAGTTTATTTTTTTACTTTTTCATATTTTCATTTCATTTTTCAACTGTTTTTCTTATATCTCAATGATGGGAACATCAGATCACTTGATGTTCAGAATTTTCTGATGGGAACATCAGACCATTTTGGAAGGCATCGGATGAGAGAGTGGGAAATGGTGGGGAAGGACGAGGGGATGGGGAAGTTTGGGAAGGTGGGAACGAGGGGATGGGGCAATGGAGAATGGTGGGTGGGACAAAGAGATAGGGGAGTGAGGCATGGTGGGAAGGAAGAGGGGATGGTGGAGGGGGGAATGGTGGAGAGGCCGAGGAAACGGGTGGGGGGGGGGGGAATTATGGGGAGGACTGGGGGACAGAGAAGCTTGCTGTGGCTCAGCAAATATGCGCGTTGTTGAGCCACAGCAACGCGTGGCCGGTTACTGCTAGTATGTATATATATATATATATATATATATATATATATATATATATATATATATATATATATATATATATATATATATATATATATATATATATATATATATATATATTATTAAATATGACCGAAAAAGTAAGATTAATAATTCTAACACGAATTTTCTCAATCTTTCGACCATTACGCTTCACTGTTGGAGGTAAATCAAAAATTAATTCTCCAAAATTCATTTTTATTTCTAGTCTGACGCGACACGGGCGCGTTTCGTAAAACTTATTACATTTTCAAAGACTTTAGTTCACAAATACACAACTGAATAGAACTTACGTATCTCCGATTTTATATCTACATTTGAGTGAGGTGGGAGGGGTGATGTGGCATTAACACAAGACAGAACAAGAGGGGATATTAATAGGGTGTTAAAAGTAACAACACAAGACAGAACACAAACAATGGGTATTGAATAGAAGTGTTTGTAGAAAGCCTATTGGTCCATATTTCTTGATGCTTCTATATTGGAGCGGAGTCTTGAGGTGGGTAGAATATAGTTGTGCAATAATTGGCTGTTGATTGCTGGTGTTGACTTCTTGATGTGTAGTGCCTCGCAAACGTCAAGCCGCCTGCTATCGCTGTATCTATCGATGATTTCTGTGTTGTTTACTAGGATTTCTCTGGCGATGGTTTGGTTGTGGGAAGAGATTAAGGAACATTAAGGAACTTATAATCTCTTCCCACAACCAAACCATCGCCAGAGAAATCCTAGTAAACATCACAGAAATCATCGATAGATACAGCGATAGTAGGCGGCTTGACGTTTGCGAGGCACTACACATCAAGAAGTCAACACCAGCAATCAACAGCCAATTATTGCACAACTATATTCTACCCACCTCAAGACTCCGCTCCAATATAGAAGCATCAAGAAATATGGACCAATAGGCTTTCTACAAACACTTCTATTCAATACCCACTGTTTGTGTTCTGTCTTGTGTTGATACTTTTAGTACCCTATTAATATCCCCTCTTGTTCTGCCTTGTGTTAATGCCACATCACCCCTCCCACCTCACTCAAATGTAGATATAAAATCGGAGATACGTAAGTTCTATTCAGTTGTGTATTTGTGAACTAAAGTCTTTGAAAATGTAATAAGTTTTACGAAACGCGCCCGTGTCACGTCAGACTAGAAATAAAAATGAATTTTGGAGAATTAATTTTTGATTTACCTCCAACAGTGAAGCGTAATGTACGAAAGATTGAGAAAATTCGTGTTAGAATTATTAATCTTCCCAGTTGCTGGCTCCACACCCAGTTGCTGGCTCCACACCCAGTTGCTGGCTCCACACCCAGTTGCTGGCTCCACACCCAGTTGATGGCTCCACACCCAGTTGCTGGCTCCACACCCAGTTGATGGCTCCACAC